CAGGCCTACCTCAAAAAGCAAGAAAAATTTTTAGTGAACTATCTAACCCTACAACTTAAAGAATTAGAAAGATCTCCTGTAAAGGCATCCCGACCAGGGCTTTTGTTTGCCAAGCTTTTTATTTTTAAAATTATTTTAAAAAAATTTTTATTACTGTTTGATTTCATCAGTTGTTATTAGCCTATTCAGGTTTTCTGATTCTTCCTCATTCAGTTTTCCATGAACTCACTCATATGTGGAATCTAATAAACAAAATGGCCTGAGGAACAAAATAGATTTGGAGACATAGAAGCATGGAACAGACTGAGGGATCTGAGTGGCAAGGCAGGGTGGGGGAGTGGGTGGGAAAAGATTACTCAAAGAACTTATGTGCATATATGCATAACCNGAATTGGTGCTTAGGTTTAAAAATTGCACTTTCTTTAGAAAATTATTTCTATATCTCTCTACAGAGTGCAGTAGATTAAAGGTTTCTGAGTTTTTTGTTTTTTTGTGTGTTTTTTTTTTTCAGTTAAGGATTAAGTTTACTGGAGTTTTACGTGATATACTCAGTCAGTACTATGCTAACAAATATTGGATATTTTATACAAACAATTTAAACACTAAACATCACCTTTAGAATTCTAAATATAAATTAAAATAATTTTAAATTAAAATACCAAAGTACAAAACCCCCTCTTTTCTTTCTTTTTTTAAAGAGTATGTTTTCATTGATTTTAAACAGAGAGGAGGAGAGAGAAACATTGATGTGAGAGAGGAACATTTATTGGTTGCTTCTTATGTGCTCCCACCTCGAGCCCACAACCTTTTGGTGTACAGGACCATGCTCCAACTAACTGAGCCACCCAGCCATGACCAAAAACCCCCTTTTGACATCAATATCTATTCTAGGCAAATTGTGGTATAATATATATATATTATTATATGGTATAATATATATATATTATTATATAGTTATTTATTAAACATCAAAATTAAATTCAACCTTCTAATTTATTTTTTGGAATACATCATTAAAAGAGTATAGCAAAGAATATTCCCCTTTTATCCACGATTACTATTTTTAACATACAGACAAACAATTGCTGTTGACTTTTTTAAATTTTATTTTATTTATTTTTATTTTTTTTAAGTTTTATTATTGTTTAAAATATTACAGATGTCCCTTTTTCTCCCCAATGACCCGTTCCACCCCGTTCCTTCCCCCTCCCCAGTCCCTCTCCCCACCATTGTCCGTGTCCTTGGGTTGTGCATATATGCATATAAATTCTTTGGTTACTCTCTCCCCCTCCACCCACCCGCCCTCCTCCATCCCTCTGACATTCATCAGTCTCATCTATGCTTCCATGTCATTGAATCTATTCTGTTCATCAGTTTATTAAGTTCTTTAGATTCCACATATAAGCGAGATCATGTGATATTTGTCTTTCGCTGCCTGGCTTATTTCACTTAGCATAATATTCTCCAGGTCCATCCATACTGTCCCAAAGGGTACGAGATTCTTCTTCTTTACAGCTGCGTAGTATTCCATGGTGTAAATGTCCCACAGCTTTTTTATCCACTCATCTACTGATGGGCACTTGGGCTGTTTCCAGATCTTAGCTATTGTAAACTGTGCTGCTATGAACATCGGGGTACATATATCCTTTCTGATGAATGTTTCAGGATTCTTAGGATACATTCCTAGGAGTGGAATCACTGGGTCAAACGGCAGCTCCATTTTTAATTTTTTGAGGAACCTCCATACTGTTTTCCATAGTGGCTGCACCAGTCTGCATTCCCACCAGCAGTGTACTAGGGTTCCCCTTTCTCCACACCCTCGCCAGCACATGTCGTTTGTTGATTTGTTGATGGCAGCCATTCTGACAGGTGTGAAGTGATACCTCATTGTGGTTTTAATTTGCATCTCTCTGATGATTAGCGACGTCGAGCATTTTCTCATGTGTCTCTTGGCCATCCGTATGTCCTCTTTGGAGAAGTGTCTATTTAAGTCCTTTGCCCATTTCTTAATTGGGTTGTTTGTCTTCCTCTTGCTGAGTGCTATGAGTTCTTTGTACACTTTGGAAATTAGCCCCTTATCAGATTCATCCTTGGCAAATATGTTTTCCCAGACCGTGGGGTTCCTTTGTATTTTGAGGCTGTTTTCTTTTGCTGTGCAGAAGCTTTTTAGTTTGATGTAGTCCCATATGTTTATTTTTTCTTTTGTTTCTCTTGCCCTAGGAGATGTATCAGTGAAAATTCCACTACGTGGGATGTCTGTGACTTTACTGCCTATGTTTTCTTCCAGGATTTTTATGGTTTCGTGACTTACATTTAAGTCTTTTATCCATTTTGAGTTTATTTTTGTGTATGGTGAAAGTTGGTGGTCTAGTTTCATTCTTTTGCATGTATCTGTCCAATATTCCCAGCACCACTTATTGAAGAGACTGTCCTTACAAGGTTTCTGAGTTTTACAACCAGAGAATAATGGGAATAGAGAAACTGCAACCACAGAGTGGTTGAAGTCTAGAGGAATGAGAGTGAGTCATCTTTTATATTAAATCAATAAAAAAATTATTTGACAAAAACTCACCAATAATAGTTCTTTTCTACATTTTCTTTAATGTAGCTGGGAAAAAATATGCTTCTTCTACATGTTTTTAGAACAACAAAACTAAGACAGAAACCAAAGACCAGCCTCCCTCTCCCACTTTCTTCCCCCATCATGCCATGGAAATTACACCACTACTTTAGCAGACAATCCACCATTACAATGTGCATAATGGAAATGGAAGAATACCACTGTCATCCCAGCATGTTCCCCTTAGACTATGAAAATAAGTGATATGGGAGCTTCATGGAATATTTAGCAGCCCTCCCCGGTAAGGATATAATCAATATTTTTGCCCTTTTTCTTTCTAAATCCCCCTGAATTCATGCATGCTTTAGAAACTTCAACTTACCCTAGGAATAGAAGTTTAGGAAGGTGGGCCTGTTTCCTTCCTGGTAAAATGCAAATTTGTAATATCGAGCAATAACCTGTGATTGCTTCTTAAGATGTTTAAAGAAGGTGGGGTGCCTTTTATTGAAAACTGCCAGTAATTAGATATCAATATATTAAAAATTGGGGCCTAGAAATAGAGACCAAACATAAACTAATCCACTTCAGGGCAGGAGCAGAAACGGAGGCTACAGTCCAGTATATAGCTTCAGATTCCTCAGGTTTTAGATCCTTAAGATCAGAGAATCTAAATTACATCTTTCTATAGGAATGACTTTTGTTCTTATTGGAAATCTGCCTGTACTTGAGGCAGTAGGAAGATTTACCTCTACAGGACAATAGGATTAGTTCCAAGTGGGAGCTGCAGAAAGCTTTTGTCATTCCCACTTTCACCCTTACCAATGCAAACTTTGTAAAAGAAAAAATAAATGTATTAAAAAGCTAAAGCGAAACCCAAATAACAACAACAACAAAAGCGCAGTAGATTATCTAATTCTATTATTTTTTCCTCACAAAGTGTTAAAGATTGAATTCCTTTTCTTTTCTTTTTTCTTATTTTAAAATTATCTTTCTCTGTTTCTTCTGGGAATCTTTGAGTCAGGTTTTGTGCTTTTTATTTTTTCTTCTCTAATACTGAGAATTAAAACTAATAAAGAGCCCGGCCCGGCGTGGCTCAGCGGTTGAGCATCAGGCAATCAGGGTTCGATTCCCGGTCAGGGCACATGCCCGAGTTGTGGGCTGCAGCCGATCAATGACTCTCTCATCATTGATGTTTCTCTCTCTCTCCACCCCTCTCCTTTCCTCTCTGTGAAATCAATAAAACTATATTTAAAAAATAAATAAATAAATAAAAATAAAACTAATGAAGAATATTCTCTAAAACCAACTATCCAACAACCAACAGCAAAAAATTACCATTTTGAATTTTCTTATCTTTATTGTGTACTTTTCACTGGTACCCCAAATAATAGTTCAACCTTTATCTGTAACATGTTTATTAATTCACTGTATTTTGTCTCCCAGGCTTATTTCCCTTCAGGCATAAATTAGCTACTCCTTAAGATTGTCAATAAACAGTACAAAGGAAAACAGTTGAAAATTTTGCAAAAACTTTAACATTAAAATGAGGCCAGTGTCATTATAGCATTCTTTTATAGAGCCTTTATTTTCCAGCATTCATAATAATAAACAAGGAAAGTTACAGAGAGAGGGATAAAGAGGGGTGACTTGGGTATCTGCAACAGCCTTGGGGCCAAAATGTCTGCTTGGAAAAGCTAAAACAGTGTTTTCTGAAGAAGTCTCAGATAAATTGGTCTGATTGTCCAAAGTTTTTAAATCGAGGAGGAAGTGGAATAGATGAGATCTTTGCTGTTAATCATGACAAGTTAGTGTCTTCTATCTGAAACACTGAAGTATCTGGCAAAATTGAGTCCCAATAGCTGTGGATGGTTCTGGTAACGCCCTTCGAAGGAACAATGTCTCTGTAAAGGGTACAACTACTAATTATTTGGGGGAGCATAAATGGATCTACTACAGTACATAAAGGACTGACAACTTGGGTTTTTTTTAAAGATGCAGGAAATCATGGATTGAGCTCTCGCTGCTTCTCTTGCTCCAGTTCAGCAGCTTTTTGTACAGCTGTATCGACTAGCAACTGGAAGTTACTAAAGTCCACGTATTCCTCCGTCGACCCAGGTCTGGGAGAAGACATAAACAAGGGCCCGCTGGTCGAACTCTGGACCTTTTTTTCGGACTGGGCTGTGACTTTCTCGTGCGGGGCTCCCTCTGGACCCAGCAGCTTTCCGCCTGATTCCTGGGCTGTTGGCAGAGCGCTCAGGGGTGGGCACTGCGTCTCCTCTGGATATGCGGGCCCTGACTTGGCCTGCGTGGATTCACTGATTTTCTTCCGGTGTATCACGTTTGCATTCTTGCCTTTTTGGTGACACACGCTGGTGGCGAGGTCTTCTCCGCTCTGTTGAAGCATTTCGGGAAGAATGCGCCTGCGGGCGTTGACGAACCAGTTATTGACCTGCAGGTAAGACAAGCTGGTCTGCTCCGACAGCATTCGCTTCTCGGCCTCCGACGGGTAGGCCTTAAAGCGGTGCTCAAACAGCCAGTTGCGGAGGATCTTCCCAGACACGGTGGGCCAGGACACTTTCCTCTTCTTGCCGTCTGGGGACACCGGAACTTCACCTGCACCAGCGCTGCTGCTCGGAGAGTCGTCTGTGCCAGTGCTGCTGCTCGACGCGGCTGAGGCGTCTTGGGGCGACCCTTCGGGCGCAGAGGCCGGGCTCTCTTCGGCGGCCTCCATTTCGGGACGCTTGGCTCGTCTGCGCGGGGACTCGGAAGCGGCGAGGCTGAGTTAGGGCTGCCGCGGGCCTGCGGGCGGCTGCAGCGCTGCCAACCGCTCTGTCAACGGCCTTTGTGACGCAACATCCTTTCTGACGTCGGCGCTGCCCTCAGCCCAGCGCCCGCTTCTTGGGAAGAAACCCGCTAGTTTGGATGCAAAACGCCTTTTGAATCAAACCCTCTGTTTCAGAATGTAACAACAGAAACACGGAATAAACCTGTATTTCCTTTCTGCAAGTTTTTGAGGCTGTGAAATAGGAATTAGGAGCGTCTCTAAGAGAGATGGATTGCATCCGCCTACCCACCTTAAAGCTTCTAAGGAGCTCAAATAATCTAAATGGCTTTTATCCGATTTTGTTTTCCTTCATTACCTCACTTTACATACAATACCAGGGGAATCTATTGAAAACCATTAGTGTTGTATATTTATAAGCATTAATTTATTTACATGACTCCGAAAAGTGCCTTCGCAGAATTATATAATGAATTAACATGGTATTATAGTACGATGTGCACCTTAATTCTCAAATTATGTGACACCCTGACAAGACAGAGAGTATATATCTTGTCGCTGATTTTTTCTAGTACTCTATTTGTAACTTGAATGGAAGTTTGAGTATTCTGTACTTCAAGTTATGTTAGTCTGTTTGCAGAATTAAAAAGAGGCAAAAAGAAAGGCTTATGTTTTAACTTCCAAGAAATGAAATAGTGCAAAAACAAATTTAAGTAAGTAAGTAAATAAATAAATAAATAAAACAGCTCTTTAAAGCACAGTGACTTAGAGAAGCAAAAATTGATGGTGTGGTAATGACCTTTTGCCAAGTTAGAGAAAGTTAAGTGCCTAGAGTTTATCATACGGTCAAGTATCTGGATAATTCCTGCCAGATGTTTTACACTTTGAAACAAATTGAAGGAACATTCAGGAAGCCAGCACTAAACTCCTCTATTTGAAGGAGTGGTGGCAAGTTGTGAGTAGGAAGTGTATAAAGTTCTGGCAAATTCAACTAATATAGCCTTAGTTGGCAGGGTGAAGATGAAAGTATGGTGCGACAATAAGAGGAGACCGGCCGTATCTCAGAACCTTACTTGAAGAGGTAGAAATTTATGTATATGTATATGTATATATAAATTTTTCTATCAATTTCATTTTCCCAAGATACATATATATTTTATATATATTTATAGAAATATATATACATTACATATATAATTTTCTAAGTTACATATGTTTTAAAAGTTAAATAGACCAATATAAAAGGAAAATATAAAAGATAATGTCAGAATTATTTCCCAATAAGATGGAGATCTAACGACCTAAGGATTTAAGATTTTTCATAGTATAGATGTAAAGGAAGTGCTTTTCAATCCTTGTATAAATCTAGCATGATCCTGATGTGAAAACCTTATAAAGCATAAAGCATGACAAAAAATAATCATAGCATATTCACTTATAAAATTATAAATCATTATTAAAATAAAACCTAGATTCATATAAAATATAAAACACATGGACAAATGGATTTCAATCTACAAATTCAATCATGGCTTAATATTGGACTATATATTTACATAATTCTTCATATTAATATATTAAAGAAAAAATGTATTATCTTAATGGAGGTTGAGAACTATTTTACGGAATTCAAAATCAATTTCTGATAAACATGCTGCAGTGAAATAGAGAAGAATAGAAAAATGCTTCCTTAACATAACATAGATCCATAAGCAGATAAAATCACTAACATACAGCTTTGTGATTAATAATAAAACAAAAATGATTCTTCTTAATTTTATGAGCAAGATAAAGCTGTTTATTTTCACTGCTAAAACATTTCTTAGAATTTGGAGCCAATGGAATTAAACAAAAATAAATGTAATACACATAAGAAAAGGAGGCAAAATAGTATTATTTGTTGATGGCATGATTAGCCATTTAGGCAATATTTTAAAATCTATTGAAAAACTTAGAAAGAATGAGTTAGGTGAGATGATCAGTTACAAGTAGATAAATGGTAAACTTTAGCAAGTACCAACAACCATAATTTAGAAAATATATTGGGGAAATTATCTAGTTCATAATCATAAAAATGATAAAAATATAAAATATCTAGGCATAAAATAGGAAAGTATTATGCAGGGCCTATACTAAAATAAGTATAAAATACTATTGTATAACAAAAAATGAGATGTTAATAAATGGCAAAATACTTTTATTTTTTGGATAGGAAGTCTCAATATTTTGATAATGTCAATTCTCTTTAAATTTATCTTTGTGTCTTTTAGCTACCAAAATCACAGATGCTCTCAATCTCCTTTAACCTCTCACCTTATAATACAAGTTGAAAAATATTTCTAAAGTTCATCTGGAGGGACTAATATGTGCTATACTATTGCATTTTTTGTAAAAACAAACTGATATAGGAATATTTGCCCTACTAGCTATTATATTATGTTTTAAAGTAGCAAATAATTAAAACAGTGCGATAAACCTGTAAACATAAACATACCAATGAAACTAACAAAATATAGCAAGTCTCAAGGATTTAATGGTACTGTGTACATGTTACGTATGGCTTTCCATATCACTGGTGAAAGATTCTGAGTCACTGAAAACAGTGAAGTGTGCCAAGAACATACCACAGACTTTGGATGCTTTCTGAAGTTTTTTCAGTTTTAAACAAATTGAAGAAACACACAGGCAGCCATTCCTAAAGTCATTGTACTGAAAGAGTGGTAGGGATAGAAAGTGTGGAGAATTCTAGCAAATTTATTTAATATGCTTTAATGAGGGGGAATGAAGGTGGGAATGGCCTGACCATGGTAGAAATAATCAAAGACCAAATAGATTCTAATAAACAGTATTGTTGAAAGTTTGTATGTTGAAGTAAGTATATTAATATTTCTGGTGGCAGTATAAAATGGCTAAGCCTTTTCAGAGCTGTTCTAACAGGAAGAATCAATGGAAAATAAAGTATACTGTTTAACCCAGGAATGCTACTTCAAGAAATTGATTATAAGGAAATTATTTGATAAGATTATAAAGATGAAATATACAAAACCACTTTTAAAGAATTAATTATAATTGTGAAAAATTAGAAACAAATTTTCAATGTTATGAAATTGGTTAAATAGAAAGATACTCTCCTACAATTGAAAAGAACCTAGCAATTTATAGGTTATTTATGTGTCTTCTTTGTTAATTTGTCCATATTATTTACTCATTTTTCTATTAAGGTGATCAATCTTTATTACTTTTTAGGGATTAGATATATTGCCAAAAAAATCTTATCAGTAAAAAATATGTTTCTGAAGGTTTTTGTCTTCAGGTTAGATTTATTCAGACAGAAGTTTCTAATATTTTTATAATTACATCTAATAATTTTAACCTTTATGGTGCCTTTTCGACAATTTGTATGAATATACGTATGTGTTGCGCACACTCCTTTACAAACATATGCAAGTTTATGTGGAATTTATAATAATACTAGATTAAATCTGTGGGGAGCCGGCGGGACTCCCCCCGGGAGGACCCGCCGGGCGAGGTGCTGCCCAGGGAGAAAGACCCGGGAGGCCCGCTTGCCCTAGTGCCATCAAGAGAGAAATCTCTGAGGCATTGACCCGAGTGGTGGGCAGCGGTGCTAGCACTCGCCCTGCTCCCCCCGCTCCCCCTCCATCCGAGAGACAGGGAACGGTTTGCATTCAGTGTCCCAGCTATCAATTTGCAGAGACCCATGCAACGGTATCAGTGGAAAATGCTTCCCCAGGGAGATGTGGATGAGTTAGTGGCCCCAGGCACAGAGGAGCTGCCTGGGTGAGCTGCAGAGGTGCCCTCCTGCTCCCTGACCCAGTCCTTGAGGCACCAAAGCAACACTAGATTCTAGAAAGGCTAATTAGGAAGCTGGCCCCGGCCTGAAGGGTTAAAGGATAGTTAAGCCACATACCAAGCCAAGGACTCTATCCTCCCCAAAAGTTCCCATTAGAAGCCGAGATAAGGATACTTTCCAAGGCCTGAGCTCCTGCAGGAGGCAGGGTGTTTACTCTGAAAAGGCATTCGTAGGACCTTGGAGTAATTACTTAGTATTGGGCTAAGGGAAGAAATGTGGGGCGGGGTGCTATTCAGCACAATCAACAGTGCCTGTATATATTGAGTGGAGAAAATAAACTCGGGGCTGGCAGCTGGCAACAGGAATGAGCTGCAGCCCTCCCGATCCCATCCTGTCTCTTGTCTTTCTTTTCCAATCCTCACCCCCTCAATCAGGTTCCCGTTCGACTGCCGGCAGGCTCCGGCAAGTGGCGCCCGAACAGGGACCTGAAAACCTGGGAACACGGTAGAGGACACCGCTCGGGGCCGCGCGGATAGCTATCGGGTAAGTGATAGCCGGAGGGAGCGGTCAGTATATCGGGAGTAAGAAATCATGGGCCAGGAAAATAGTAAGGTGCTGTTTGCACAGGTTTTGAAAACTATGCTCCGTTCTAGGGGCGCCAAGGTTAGTACTGCCCAACTGCGGAACTTTTTGCAGTTTGTGGAGGAAGTGTGCCCCTGGTTTCCTGAGGAGGGCACTGTTAATCTGGAAACTTGGAATAAAGTGGGAAGGCGTATGCAGGGTTTTTTCCAGGCACACGGCCCCCAGAAGGTGCCTGTAGAGGCCTTCTCACTCTGGACCTTGGTCCGAGACTGCCTTGACCCCCGGCATGAAGGAGTGCGCATGGGGGCTTCTTCTGAGGCCACGCCGGTAGAGGCTCCAGGAGCCTCGTACGCTGAGGGCGAAGCCTCCGCTCCCCCGATACAGCTCCTCACTGTTAAACCCGAGAGGCTGAATCCGAAAGAGGAACAGGACTTAGATGAAGCTGCCGCGGCCTATGAGAAGGAAAAATATGGGGAGTTTGTGTTTCTCTCGGAAGAATGCGCAGACAAGCATAACCCGTTGCCCCCTGATCCTACAATGGAGGGCCTGTGGAAGCAAATGCAGGCGTTGATGAGCCAAGTTCAGGATTTGCATAAATCAGTGAAGGGAAAGGACGCTGAAGGTTCACAAGGTCAGCCTAGTGCGCATCCGAAAGGGGCTGACCCCCTGTTAATAGATCTAGAAGAGGACCCTCCAGGGTACCCAGGGGAGAAGCCGACTGTTTCCACACTGAGTGCAGGACCCGGGATTGGGATGCCAATAGGAGTTCGTGTCCTCGATCCTCAGGAGCGAACTATGATCGCTCTGGCTCAAAAAGGACCGGGTCAGGCCCGGGACCCTGGGTGGGGGAGGGTACGAACTGACTTTGCGCCAATGTCTTCTTTTCAAATGGCGCTTAGCCAGGCCAGACTGAGAGGGGAAGATCTAGAGGGGTTCGATTCAGAATCAGCAATGTGCTATCCAGTATTTGAACAGCCAGCTCAAGGGAACAACTCCCCGCAGAGAGTGTATGGGCCCATGGATTTTAAGAAATTGAAAGAGCTGAAGATGGCTTGTGCTCAGTATGGGCCCACTGCTCCTTATACAGAAGCTATTTTGGAGGCTTTAGATACAGAATATACCATGTGCCCCAATGATTGGAAACAATTAGCGCGCGCTTGCTTGTCGGGAGGAGATTACTTGCTGTGGAAATCTGAGTATACGGAGCAGTGTGAAAAGGTCCATCGGCTAAATGTGAGGAATAACATTCCCTCCGATTTGCAAGGCCTGCTTGGAGAGGGGCAATTTGCAGACACTCCTGCCCAGTTACAGTTTGGGATGGGGACTTATGCCCAAATTTCTGCCGCGGCCAGGAAGGCTTGGAAAAAATTGCCTAACACAAAAAATGTAACCATGGATTTGACTAAAATAAGGCAGGGCCCCGATGAGCTTTATCAGGACTTTGTCTCCCGGCTCCTTGATGCCGCAGGGAAACTGATAGGGGACGGGGAGGCTGGGGTAATCATTGTGAGGCAATTAGCTTTTGAAAATGCTAATACTGCATGTCAAGCAGCCCTACGGCCTTATCGGCATAAGGGGTCTCTGAATGATTACATTAGACTTTGTCAGGATATAGGGCCCTCTTATACCACCGGAGTCACTCTTGCAGCCGCCTTGAGAGGTCAGACTATGCAACAATTCCTACAGCAGCAGGGGGCTGGGCGAGGCAGGGGGCGACGAGTCCCCGGGCCCCCCGGGAGTTGCTTTTCCTGCGGTCAGCTTGGGCATTTCACTCGAAATTGCCCCCAGAAACCCTCCAGTAATCAGAGGGCTCCCGCGGGCCCGCCCCGTGGAGCATCTCCGGGGCTTTGTCCGAGATGCAAAAAGGGAAATCACTGGGCCCGGGACTGCAAGTCGAAACTTGATCTGCAGGGACGGCCCCTTAGCCTCCCCCTGCAGTCGGGAAACTGGCAGAGGGGCCAGCCCCAGGCCCCGCAAACATATGGGGCTCTGAAGGGGGAGCCCCAGGGGCAAACCCCGGGAAGCAATCCATTTGTGACCTCTTCCGAGCCACCCCAGGGAGCGCCGGACTGGACCTCAGTTCCGCCGCCTACACAGTACTGACCCCTGCAATGGGGATGCAGGCTTTGCCTACTGGGGTCTATGGCCCCCTGCCTGCCGGAACCGTGGGGCTTCTCTTAGGACGCAGTAGTAGTACCCTGAAAGGATTGTTAGTGGCCCCTGGAGTCATAGATCAGGATTATACCGGAGAGGTGAAGGTTATGGCTCATGCTCCTCACAATGTGGTGACAGTAGATAAAAGTCAGAGAATTGCCCAGCTTATTTTGTTGCCGCTGGTAGAACAGGGAAAAGTCAGGACGAATAAGGCTCGCGGGTCCCAGGGTTTCGGATCTTCTGATGCTTATTGGGTGCAGCCCATTAGGAGAAACCGGCCGGAGATGGCACTTTGGATTAATGGGAAGGTGTTTAAAGGCATTCTAGATACTGGGGCTGATGTCTCAGTTATTTCCCTCAAGCATTGGCCTGCTAGTTGGCCTATTCAACCAGCAATGACCGACCTGCAAGGTATCGGTCAAAGTCGGACTCCGAAAATTAGCTCGGCGGTCTTAAGCTGGCGAGATGATGAGGGACATCAAGGAGAGTTTCAGCCCTATGTCTTATCAGATTTACCTGTGAATCTGTGGGGGAGGGATGTCATGGAGCACATGGGGGTGTATCTCCACAGCTCGAGTCCAGCGGTTACACAACAACTACTTAACCAAGGGCTGCTACCAGATCAAGGATTAGGAAGAGAAGGGCAGGGCATTACTGAACCCTTACAACCCCTGCCCCGGCCAGGGCGCGCTGGCCTGGGGTATTTTTAGGAGGGGCCTTTGACTCTCCTGCTACCCATGCCGATAAAATGACCTGGAAGTCAGATCTTCCTGTATGGGTAGATCAATGGCCCCTGACTACTGAAAAAATAAAGGCTGCCCAGGAGCTGGTGCAGGAGCAGCTCCAACAGGGCCACATTGAGCCGTCTAATTCTCCCTGGAATTCACCTATATTTGTGATCAAGAAGAAGTCAGGGAAATGGAGATTACTCCAGGATCTTAGGAAGGTGAATGAGACCATGGAGCTCATGGGGGCCCTCCAGCCAGGCTTGCCTTCACCTGCGGCCATACCCCGTGATACATATAAGATTATTATTGACCTGAAAGACTGTTTTTATACTATTCCCCTTGATCCCCGGGACTGTCCACGGTTTGCCTTTAGCGTACCATCAGTAAATTTTCAGGAGCCTATGCAGCGATATCACTGGAAAGTGCTGCCTCAGGGAATGGCCAATAGCCCGACCCTGTGTCAAAAATTTGTGGCAACGGCCCTAGCTCGGGTAAGGCGTGAGTACCCAGCAGTGTACGTCTGTCACTACATGGATGACATCCTCATTGCCGCTCACCATGAGGGACTGCTCCTCCGGGCATTTGCGAAAATGGAATCTGACTTGCAAAAACAAGGCCTGGTCGTAGCCCCAGAAAAGGTCCAGAGGCAGCCCCCGTTTTCTTATCTTGGTTTTCATCTGGAGCCTGACCGATTTTTCTGTCAGAAAGTTCACCTTCGGCTAGACAAGCTCCAGACCTTGAATGATTTTCAAAAGTTGCTGGGGGATATCAACTGGATTAGACCTTATCTGGGGTTAACTACAGGGGAGCTCAAACCATTGTTTGACATTCTCAAGGGGGATGCAGATCCTGCATCCGCTAGACAGCTGACCCCGGAGGGACGTGAAGCCCTTGGGAGGGTGGAGCAAGCTATCCGCAGGCAGCAGGCAACATTTTGTGACTATAGTAGACCTTGGCAGGCCTGCATTTTGGCCACGGGCCATTCCCCTACTGCTGTTTTATGGCAAGACCGGCCACTACGGTGGGTGCACCTCCCTGCTTCCCCTGCCCGGGTCCTTGCCCCTTATTATGAACTTGTTGCTGTCCTTATTCAACAGGCTCGGGAAGAGTCCCGCCGCTACTTTGGCAGGGACCCTGCAAGCATTCTGGTGCCATATACACGAGAACAGGTCACCTGGTTATTCCAAACTTGTGATCCCTGGGGAATAGCCTTGGCTGGCTTTCCTGGAAAAATTGATAATCATTATCCCCAAGACAAGCTTCTGCAATTCTTTCTGAAACATTCGATTATCTTTCCAAGGATGGTATCTGCTACTCCACTGCCCGGAGCCGCTACTGTGTTCACTGACGGGTCGTCCTCTGGCATTGCAGCCTATGTGCGTGGGCACCAGGTTACACGGTGGGAGACCCCATATTCCTCTGCCCAGGAGGTAGAGTTAGCAGCAGTACACCGGGTACTTTTAGATGTGGCCAATGAACCTCTAAATATTTTCTCTGATAGTCAATATGTAGTCAGAAGCCTCTCTGTTATTGAGACTGTCCCGTTCATTGGCACTACTAATTCCACTGTGCAACAACTGTTTATAGCCATCCAAGCTGCCATCCTGAATCGTACCCAACAATGCTACTTTGGGCATCTTAGGGCCCATAGCAACTTACCTGGGCCCTTATCCCATGGAAACTGCCAAGCTGATTTGGCCACTAAAGTGTATTTAGTTGGGGTGCCTGCAGCTCGGGCGGCTCATGCTCTCCACCATCAAAATGCCCAGTCTCTTCGGCTGCAGTTTAACATTCCCCGAGAGGCCGCCAGACAGATAGTAAAGGAATGTCACACATGTCCTACTTTAACCAGCGTGCCTAGCTATAGAGTCAATCCTCGAGGACTCCTGCCCAATCATCTGTGGCAGATAGATGTAACACATGTGCCTAGTTTTGGTAAGCAACGGTATGTTCATGTTACTATTGACACCTACTCAGGGTTTCTTGTTGCCTCTGCCCTCACAGGGGAATCCAGTTCCCACGTCATTGCCCATTGCTTGCGCAGCATGTCTGTCCTAGGACAGCCCCGGGTTATTAAAACAGATAATGGACCGGGCTACACAGGCAAAAAGTTTCAAGCCTTTTGTATGCAATTGGGCATTCAGAGTAAGACAGGCATTCCTTATAACCCTCAAGGACAGGGTATTGTTGAACGAGCCCATGGCACGCTAAAAAATCAATTGCAAAAAATTAAAAAGGGGGAGCTGTACCCCTTAATCCCGCAAAATCAACTTAACCATGCTTTATTTATTCTTAATTTCTTAATTTTGGACGAGAAAGGTCGTTCTGCTGCGCAAAGGTTTTGGCAGCAGGCTGTTCCCCAAGATAAAGCCATGGTCAGGTGGAAGGACCCCCTTGAGGGTACGTGGCACGGGCCAGATCCGGTACTAATCTGGGGAAGAGGGCATGTTTGTGTTTTCCCGCAGGATGCCGAGACGCCGAGGTGGCTCCCGGAGAGGCTGGTACGACACGCGGCCCAAGACGCTAGAGGAACGGATGCAGGAGCTAACAATGAACCCTGAGCGTCAGTCGCGAAGAGCCCGGCGAAGAGCCTGGCGGGCACAACAACGCGCAGAGCAACTCATCAGAGGGCAAGGCATGACTGTCACGCCCGAAACTCTATTCCTGGCAATGCTGGCTCTGCTTGCCGCGGCCCCTGGGGCTAGAGCAGAAACTCACTGGGCCTACCTGCCTAACCCACCTCTGCTGCAGCCAGTGACGTGGCAGCATGGAGAGGTACCTGTGTACACCAATGACACATGGACCATGGGGGGCCATTCCAGCAGGCACCTGCGAGCAGCGCGCGCTCCGGACTTTTCTTATTCAGGACACGCTAGTGACCAGCCTATTTGTTTCTCACGAACTGACCAGGTAGCCGGTTGTTTTTTGCTTAAAACTACTAAAATCGAGTCGCTCCTGCCAACTACGACAGGGGTTTTTTATGTCAACGGGACGGCGAGGACCTGGGTTCAATCAGCTCTGGACTGGACGCGGTGGTACGTGGACATCTGGTACCCTACTGGGAATGCCGCAGGCCATCCTTCTGGAGCCCCCCCTGGGGAGATCTCCATATGTGAGGCTGACGTTGTTAACCGCACCCAGCAGCCGCATTGGTTGAGCTGCCGGGGGAAAAATAGTATATTGATTAATGTGACAAGGGGATACCCGCTACAGGACTGGTCAGCTAAGGGCCCAAAATGGAAGGCGCTGGCCGAGTCCTTTTGGTCCGTACAGAAAGGGCCAATGCAATCTCAGCTATGGAGACTTACGGCAGCAATGGGAGGGGACATCATGGTGAATGAGGAACGGGGCAATGCAGCTGTACAGAAGGGCACCACACAATTCTACCGAAAGGTGCAGGCCTGCGTTCCCGAGCCTTATGCTCTTCTTGTGGGGTCACTTAATATTTCACGGAGTGGATCCTGGTGGACTATTGCATGCCATAACTGTACCCTTAGCACTTGTGTATATAACATATCTCAGGATGAGCAACTCCTAATCCTGTATCAGCCCTCATTTGTAATGATCCCTGTCAAAGTCTCAGGGGAATGGTACAATGACCGAGGCTTGCAAGTAATCCGGCAGGTCACTGAGATTATGCTAAGAGGAAAGAGATTTATTGGGCTGCTTATCGCTGGCATAGCTACCCTTATTTCAGTGATAGCAGCCAGCGTTACTGCGGCCGTATCCCTCTCCCAAAGTATTCAAACTGCTCACCATGTCAATCAGCTCAGCGCTAATATCACCCAAGCGCTGGGAACACAAGAGGCCATTGACTTAAAAGTAGAAGAAAGGTTGAATGCCTTATACGACACTGTGTCGATCTTGGGAAGAGAGGTACAGAGTTTGAAGCTGCGGTTAGATCTTGACTGCCATGCAGATTATAAGCACATATGTGTTACCCGCAAGAAGTACAATGAGTCCACCCACCCCTGGGATCGAGTGCAGAGACACCTGGAGGGGATATGGCATGATGGAAATGTCTCCTTAGACTTAAAGCAGCTACATCAGGAGATTCTCGCTCTGAGAGAAGCCCCGAAAATAGATACCTCCACAGCGGAGTTGGCTCAGTCTTGGGTGGAAGGGTTGAGGAAAGAATTTCCCTCAGCCAGTGACTGGAGACATGGTATAATAGGAATGGCTGGTCTGGCTGCCATCGTCCTGTTAGGTTTTCTGCTTACCCCATGCATTCTTAGAGCATTGCTGAAAGATGTACAAAATCTTAGAGTAGGACTCCACGCCTTGCAACTACGCACCCGTCCTGCCCCGCTTGAGCCTAGACCTTATATTTAAAAAATAAAAAAGGGGGAGATGTGGGGAGCCGGCGGGACTCCCCCCGGGAGGACCCGCCGGGCGAGGTGCTGCCCAGGGAGAAAGACCCGGGAGGCCCGCTTGCCCTAGTGCCATCAAGAGAGAAATCTCTGAGGCATTGACCCGAGTGGTGGGCAGCGGTGCTAGCACTCGCCCTGCTCCCCCCGCTCCCCCTCCATCCGAGGGACAGGGAACGGTTTGCATTCAGTGTCCCAGCTATCAATTTGCAGAGACCCATGCAACGGTATCAGTGGAAAATGCTTCCCCAGGGAGATGTGGATGAGTTAGTGGCCCCAGGCACAGAGGAGCTGCCTGGGTGAGCTGCAGAGGTGCCCTCCTGCTCCCTGACCCAGTCCTTGAGGCACCAAAGCAACACTAGATTCTAGAAAGGCTAATTAGGAAGCTGGCCCCGGCCGGAAGGGTTAAAGGATAGTTAAGCCACATACCAAGCCAAGGACTCTATCCTCCCCAAAAGTTCCCATTAGAAGCCGAGATAAGGATACTTTCCAAGGCCTGAGCTCCTGCAGGAGGCAGGGTGTTTACTCTGAAAAGGCATTCGTAGGACCTTGGAGTAATTACTTAGTATTGGGCTAAGGGAAGAAATGTGGGGCGGGGTGCTATTCAGCACAATCAACAGTGCCTGTATATATTGAGTGGAGAAAATAAACTCGGGGCTGGCAGCTGGCAACAGGAATGAGCTGCAGCCCTCCCGATCCCATCCTGTCTCTTGTCTTTCTTTTCCAATCCTCACCCCCTCAATCAGGTTCCCGTTCGACTGCCGGCAGGCTCCGGCATAAATCCCCAATATCCAACTTCATACTTAATGTTAAAACAAAAATATTCCTTTTTTCTAATGATTAGTATCTTGTGCCATTTAGGTCCTTTGCCCATTTTTTATTGGATTGTTTTCCTTTTGTTAAGTTGTAGGAGTTCCTTATATATTTTAGATATTAAGCCTTTATCAGATGTGACATTGGCAAATATGTTCTCCCATAGAGTGGGCTCCTTTTTTCTTTTGTTGATGGTTTATTTTGCCATGCAGAGACTTTTTATTTTGATGCAGTCCCTTATGTTTATTTTCTCCTTTGTTTCTCTTGCCTTAGGAGATTTATCAGCAAACATATTGCTACGAAACATGTCTGAGATTTCGCTGCCTATGTTTTCCTCTAGGATTTTTATTGTTTCACAACTTACATTTAAGCCTTTTATTCATTTTGAGTCTGCTCTTGTGTGTGGTGTAAGTTGGTGGTCAAGTTTGATATTTTTGCATGTACCTGTCCAATTTTCCCAGCACCATTCATTGAAGAGACTGTCTTTACTCCATTGCATGCTCTTGCCTCCTTTGTCAAATATTAATTGAGCGTAATGGCTTGGGTCAGTTTCTGGGTTCTCTGTTCTGTTCCACTGAACTGTATGTCTGTTCTTGTGCCAGTACCAGGCTGTTTTGATTACAGTGACTTGGTAGTATAGCTTGGTATCTGGTATTGTGATCCCTCCAACTTTGTTCTTCTTTCTCCAGAACGCTGTGGCTATTCAGGGTATTCTTTGGTTCCACATAAATTTTTGAAGTGCTCTAGATCAGTGAAGTATATCCTTAGTATTTAAATAGGGATTGCATTGAATTTATAGATTTCTTTGGGTAGTATGGACATTTTAATGAAGTTAATTCTTAGAATCCATGAACCCAGTATATTCTTCCATTTGTTTATATCTTCCTCTTTCTCCTTTTGCAATGTCCTGTAGTTTTCTGAGTACAGGCTTTTCACCTCCTTTGGTTAACTTTATTTGTAAGCTTCTTAATTTTTTAGTTGCAATGGTAAATGGGATTGTTTTTTTTAGTTTCTCTTTCTGCGAGTTCATTATTGGTGTATAAAAATGCCATTGGTTTCTGGGTGCTAATTTTGTATCCTGCTACCTTGCTGAATTCATTTATTAAATCTAGTAGCTTTTTGGTGGAGTCTTTAGGATTTTCTATGTACAATATCATGTCATCTGTAAATGATGACAGTTTTACTTCCTCTTTTCCAATTTGGATGGCGTTAGTGTTTTCTTCTTGTCTGATCTCAGTGGCTAGGACTTCCAGTACTATGTTGAATAAGAGTAGTGAAAGTGGACACCCCAATCTTGTTCCTGTTCTTAGGGAAAATGTCTTTAGTTTGTGCCCACTGAGTATGATGTTGGCTGTCAATTTGTCATATATGGCCTTTCTTATGTTGAAGTATGATCCTTCTAATCCCACTTTGCTGAGAGTTTTTATCAAAAATTGGTGTTGGCCCATCCGGGCGTGGCTCAGTGGTTGAGCGTTGAGCTAGGATCCAGGTGATCGGGGTCGATTCCCAGTGAGGGCACATGCCTGGGTTGCGGGCTCGATCAATGACTTTCTCATCATTGATGTTTCTATCTCTCTTTCCCTCTCCTTTCTTCTTTCTGAAATCAATAAAGATACATTAAAAAAAAACAAAACAAAAATGGGTGTTGGATTTTGTCAAATGCTTTTTCTGCATCAACTGAGTTTTTTAATTTGTTTATGTGATGTATCACATTTATTGATTTGTGAATATTGTACCAGCCCTGCATCTTTGGAATAAATCTCACTTGGTCATGATGTATGATCTTTTTCATATATTGCTGGATCTAAATTGCTAATATTTTGTTGAGGATTTTAGCATCTATGTTCATCAGGGATATTGGCCTGTCATTCTCTTTCTTTGTAGTGTCTTTATCTAGTTTTGGAATTAGGCTAATGCTGGCCTCATAAAAAGAATTTGGAAATGTTCCTTCCTTTTGGATTTTTTGGAATAGTCTGAGGAGAATAAGTGTCAAGGCTTCTTGGAATGTTTGGTAAAACTCCCATGTGAAGCGGTGCAGACCAGGACTTTATTGTGCTGGGAGGTTTTTTTTATTACTGCTTCAACTTCATCAGCAGTTATTGGCCTATTGAGGTTTTCTGACTCTTCCTGATTGAGTTTTGGAAAACTGCATTTTTCTAGGAATTTGTCCATTTCGTCCAGGTTGTTCAGCTTGGTGGCATATAGTTGTTCATAGTATTTCCTTACAATCCTTTGTGTTTCTGTTGGGTCAGTTGTTACTTCACTTCTTTTGTTTCTGATTTTGTTTATTTGGGTCCTCTCTCTTTGTTTCTTGATGAATCTGGCTAAAGGTTCATCAATCTTGTTTATCTTTTCAAAGAACCAGCTCTTGGTTTCATTGATCTTTTGTATTGTTTTTTCAGTCTCTATGTCATTTATTTCTGCGCTGATCCTTATTATTTCCTTCCTCCTATTTTCTCTGTTCTTT